CCTTATGGGGGAAATTTACCTCGGGGTGTGACCAAATTCAGAGGGCGGATTAACCGTATTTACATTGAACCTTATGGGAAACTTTACCTCGACTTGAGACCAACTCGAGTTGTAACCAGAGTCACGGAATGGATTAAGTTCGTAACTAGAGATACCACTGTATATGGACACATCATATATTTTCTTTTCCTTTACTCATGCCTCTATCCTCAATTCTGCTATTGCCTCTGTTGTTTAGGCTGTGATTTTCTCAGGGCCAGAAGACATTCTCTTATTTGTGACCCATGGATGAAGCCATTCCAGGGTAGTGTTTATTCACTTCTATGGGAGGAAGAAAACCAACAACACAGGAGCACATTTGACACCACTAGGATAGTGGAGGGGAAATGTGGCACTCCAAGGTCTGGGGAAAAATAAATCCAAACTCCTTCCTGATGTTGCAGTTGCACAGAAGTGAATGGGAACTGTTGACAGTTTAACCCTGGTTTATATAACTCCACCATTTAAGGTCACATAATGGATGTACTGGAAGTGTATTTCATGTTTATGGGGGTTTTAAGTTCTCAGTGGCCCTGACTCCCTGATAGGCAAAAAGGTAGAGTATAAACAGTAACAACAAATAATACATGTTCTATGTGTTGATGAAATAGCAAGGGCAGATTGAATGACCTGAGGCTTCATAGCAAAAGCTACTCCCTAGAGCAGTGTTTCTCAACCTCAGCAACTTTAAGATGCGTGGACTTCAACTCCCAGAATTCCCCAGCCAAACACCGCCCTAGAGTTATATCAATTGACCATCATAGATATGCTCTTTAAGCTGTTCTATAATTAATGTAAGAAAATGTGCTTCCCTCATTTGACTTATAATGCTCTTCAGCTGCTGAATGCTAGAAAAGTACCTATAACTGAGTTTTGATTTGAATAATTGTTTGTTATATCTTCAGTTCCTTCAGGTCCTTGGTGGGATTCTCATTCCATCTGTGTTACCCCTGTGCTTATGTTAATTGATAAAATGTTGTAGGGAAAGCAATTTTGATGGAATTGTGCATTTCACTGCATAAACGTTCTTTTTGGGCTACATTTCTCTGCTACAGATTTATTTTCTTGCATTTCAGTAAAACACCACACAGAAAAGAATCTTCAGAATATCAGATGTATAATCACATCAAGATTCCATTGATAAACTATTGAGGGAGGGAAAATTTCATGCAGGAATACAATGGCTGCATCATAAATCATTTTATGTAATGTTTTATTGATGCATATGAGTCCTGCTGAGAATCAGTAAAGTGCTAGAGAAAAAAAATCTTGATTCAGTCTGAGGGGCTTTTTGAAACAGTTTAAAATAATTTGTGTGTGGGAGGAATGATTGCATCTAGATTTATTTTATGTGCTATTTTACTCATGAAAAAATGATGAGACTTAAATTTATCCCCTCAAACACATATACTGTATTAAGTGTCAGCAGTGACAAAAAACATAAAGGAACTGAAAGATGAAGTAAATTATTCATGAAATTAGGAATGTAAGAAAACAAAAAACAAAAAGATAGAGCAACTGACCCTTAATGTATCAATTTCATTCAACAACCAAAACCAGAACCTTTAAATGTATGATGATGATGATGATGATGATGATGATGATGATGATTTCTAACTGTCTTTTTAAGGCAAAGATCTGGGAAGAAATTCAAATAAAGAGCATTTCAAAAGCATCTCAGATTTTAACTTCTTTCTTTGGTCCAGAAACTTTGGGTAACCTCAACCTCTTAAATGAAGCTGTTCCTTGCTAAGGCTAGTGTTGGAAAATACATTCAACATGGACTACTCAATGAACAGAACATTGAGTAGTCCATGAAGTAGAACATCAACCAGGGGCATCTCAGAGGGGTCAAGATGGCAACTGAAGCCCAGCTCCCTTTTTACATGCATCACAACCACCATCATCACTTTTTTGTACCCCCTGCAGTGGACACCCTTGACACCCCAATCAAACATTTCCCACTGTAGCATGTCAAGGTTTTTTGGGAAGCTCCTGCTTGGCTGAAATAGCTAAGGAATTTTAAGGGAAACAAACTTGCTTTCAGAAAGTCTGACATGATGTCTTTATTCCATGTATGAATTCATTTTTTGTTGTTGTTACTGTTGTAAAGAATGTCTTTTGTGCATAGTGGCGGTCTTGTGTGTGTGTGCTACAATCTCCATTTTAAAATAAGCTCAGCTAATTATACAGCTACCCTCCCAAACTCTCCTATCTTTCCACCTATACTTGCTTCACAGCTCTCCCAAACTCCCTCTCCCCCCAATTCCCCCCCAAACCTGGTCTCTGCAGGCATGCATTGCTGGCTCTTCCCCTTCGCCCCCTCCGCCCCCTCCCTCCCTCCTTCCCCTCCCCTGTCCTGCCTCTTCCTCTAGCGCTAAGGCACAAGAGACAACGAGAAGCCATCCTTGCAAAAAAAAGAGCACAGATGCACATCCGGCAAACATAGCCTCCGTAGCACGCCTTAGCACCGGCCACGGCACACAGAGGGTTAAAGCGACACAGTCTGGTTTTTTGGGGGGGAGGGAAACACCCAAATTTTAGGCTCTCTGAGAGGAAAAAAAGAAGAAAGAAACAAGATTTGTACAAAGCCTAACATTTGCTTTATCAAAACAATACGACTTTTGCAGCGGTGACTCAGACACATAAACGGAAAGAGGCCCACACAGACCTTAACCAGAGGACAAAACTGGCTATGTGAAGAAGCACATTCAGAGGCTTGTTAAGACACATCTCTGTAATGACGAAAGGAGATCGGGTTCCCTCTCCCCCCGCCCCACCCGAACATGTGCAATCTTTGCTGTTTGGGCTGAACGGTCCCTAATAGTTTCAAGGTTCAGTGATGGAAACTGCGGGCTTATGGCACATGACGAGGCCAGATGTAGCTGTGAAGTTAGAAGTCTTTGGCTTCGAACTATGGAGCAGGAAAACGGTGCATGAACAAGCCTCCGTCTGCTGACTTTTGAAAAGTGCACGAGAAAGAGAAGATGCATTTTAGAAACGCTGTTCAGGTAAAACATGGCGTTTATCATTTGAAAGAGACCACAGTTCAAGGTCACTTCCCCCAGGGCAAATGTGTAAGGACCTCACTGGACAAATCCCCACCAGGAACAAGAAGCAGAAGGCTAAAGCTGAGGTCCTAATCTTGTGAAGCAATACTCTAAACCAGTGTTTCTCAACCTCAGCAACTTTAAGCCGTGTGGACTTCAACTCCCAGAATTTCCCAGCCAGCATAGAATTCTGGGAGTTGAAGTCCACACGGCTTAAAATTGCTGAGGTTGAGAAACACTGCTCTAAACCCAGAATTGAAATCCACACCAGTTTTGACACACCAGTTCCCAGTTGCTCTGTTTTATAAGGTTTTCTAGTTTTCAGATTACAAAGGTATGTTACATCAAAGCCGCTCAACCATGATGCTATGTATCTGCGATCAAAGAATACACGCAGGAGAACGCCTGAGCTTGACTTCTCTGTTATCACTGGACAACAGCTGCCTCCTCTGATTGGCAGATGCTCCCCAAGAGCTCAGCCAATGAGGTCTCTTTGCAAGATCTACTATAATGCAAAGACTTGGGAGATGTGAAGTACCTAAGATGAGGCAATGGGCATGCACTTTGCCCAATGCTGCCCCTTTCAGAACTGCATGCAGCTCCAAGATGGCCCATCCCTCCCTGATTTTAATTCTTTTGCTGCAATACTGTCTGTGGATCAGTGCCCATTTTCTCTGGAAAACTCCCTTCCTGTTCAATATTGGAACTTCTTCTCTTTTAGATGACTCTTTGCTTTTCTGAGAGGGACAGAAGATGGCTTCTTCAGTGTTTGATTCTCCAGTGCCTTGGCCAAGCCAGGATCCCCCACAACCCTTTCCCATACCTGACCATACCTTGGAGGCTTTATTATGTGGCTACTTCCTAGTCTTTATAATGCTTCCAGACATCACAATTTTAGGGAAGCTGCCCACAGAACCTTGCCTGAACAGGGGTGCTCTGAGGGAAGTGATCTCCAAAATGGTCTTGCTTTTTAAAAGTTTTAATTTGGGGGGGATCAGCCACATCTCTTTCAGACAACATCCTGTCACCATTTGAAAGCCTTCCTGGTTTAGTAGTTAGTTTTTACATCTGTGTATAAAGAGGACTCTCAGGGCTGCGCAGACCACCACTCTTAAAAGAGCAACAACAGTAACGTCTTCTGCATTGTGAACCCTGCCCCCCAAATCCTGAATTTCCATTGTCCAAATAAGAAGCAAGAATGGTTCCAACTCCTCCTCTTAACTTCTAGAAGTTATGATTATGATGATTTCTTTCATATTATGCTGTTTTCTTCCATCATGGGACACAAGGTGGCTTGCAGAGAGATGCCCAGGCAATATCCCATCTGGCCCTCAGTGGAGTTTGGACATGCTTAGCTGCAACTAGGTGACCCCAACCCTTGCTGGCTTAAGAGCCTTTCAAGATCAGACCAAAGGTTGATCTAGGCCAGGACTGCTTCTCAGGGCTCCATCCAGGTGCTTCTGGAAAATCTACAAAGCTTTGCCTATCATCTGGCATTCGCAGGTTCTAACCTGGTTGTTATTTTGACTTTCCAATCTATGCTTGTAATGGGCTGTGAGAATAACCTTGAGAAAGAGCCACAGTCAGATAAGAGAAATCTGAGTCCAAATGGATCCAGGAATGGGGGTGGAGAAAGTACCCCAGAATTGACCCTCCCTAGTTCTCTTTAGGATAAAGGCAGAGAGGGGGGAGGCACATTCAGAGTTGCAAGATTCTGTTATTGTAACCCAATAATAAAAGTAGTTTTAGTATTCATACTTTGGTGTTCAAGTCTGGTCTATTTCGAAGGGCTGACATAAATCTTGCAACTCTGAACAGCTCTTCCTTCTGTTCCTCAAGGTTATTCTCACAGCCCATTACAATGCTGTGCCCTGGAATATCCTGGTGGTCTTCCATCCATGAATTAACCAGGTCTGGTATGGTTAGTGTTTTGAGAACAGTGAAACTTGGCTGGCTGCAGGAGAGATCCAAGTTCAGATCTTCCTCTCATTCCTGAAGCTTCCTAACCTTCACTCACTCTATTTCCTTTACAGTCCAGCCTACCTTTCAGGATTCTTATAGGGATAATGTGGGAGAAGGAAGTACATGTACTACTTTTTGCTCCTTGGTGGACAATGGGGTAAAGATAAATAAATTAATTGAAAAGGAAGGAAGGAAGGAAGGAAGGAAGGAAGGAAGGAAGGAAGGAAGGAAGGAAGGAAGGAAGGAAGGAAGGAAGGAAGGAGGTTGTTCTAATTATTTGGAAGTCTAGAACCACTAAACCAGGGAGCTTTGGCCAGGTTTCAGGTAATGATCACTGCTATGGGAGGGGTCTAGGAAAAAGGCACCACAGAATTGGCTATATCATATTTCTAGTCATTCCTCCCTGGCCAATTGTTTTTCCTTTATTAAACCCAGCCCTGTTTGAGTTTGTTCTTGCTCACATTGAATCATAGCTTACCAACTGCTGCATTGACTTATGCAGGTTGAGCAAATGTACCTTCTCTTTCTATCTGAGAGGTATGTGCAGCGTAAATACCACCTCCAACCCCTGGCACACATTTCTCTAGAAATCATTCAATAATGCTGTGAGGGTTTTCTTTCCAAAATTACTCTTGGGGTTGAGCAAGTGATTGCGTGCACAGAATCGGGTGTCCTTTTTCGTCAGGCCGCCCCCTCTATCATCATGCACCCCCACCCCCAGGAAAAAGAAAAGCATAGAGTAAAAGTAAGAAATGAGTGTTCTACGCACCATCGGACTTACCCCGAAATTGGAAGCAGCAAAACGGTCAGAGGCAGAGACATTGGTGGAGGCAGTGGTATGCGCATAATAAGCATTAATGTTGGCCAATAAGGTACTCATTACAGCAGGCACCCCTGGGCACATGTATTTTGAGGAAAGGCAGGCGAAGTGCCTGCAGCATGGAAACACAGAGGAAAAAAAAATCTCGAGGCAGTTTCTAACCCAAGGGCAGGAACAGTCTGGAGCTGGTGGGCACATGTGGCATTTTAAGAGCATGTTGTGTGCACTGTCACAGAATCATTATTACCTTTTCAAGGTAAGCCAGGTCAAGAAACAGATATCACAAAAGCTATTGGAACTTTACTTTATTATTATAGGGTATCACAACAGAATCTCAAAAGCTGACAATGTTTTCCCTTCCCTCCCCCTTGTACCAAAGAGAATCAAGGCGGGCTTAACCTAAGTTTCTTTCTAACAGCCCCTTCAGTTACTGGGCTTAATTTATGTTTCGCTAATTGCCATGTTCCTTCTCCAAGGTCACCTCTGTAGTTCTCTACACTGGACCTACAACCACTCTAGTGCTGCAGTCTTTACATCTTTCTATTGTCTCTCCAGCCGCTCACAATTTCTGACCTGCAAGTTCCCTGTAGAAGGACATAACCCATCCAGGTAAACTGTAATGCAAGAGCTCTACTATGTATGAGAATTTTACCAACATTTTCTAAACAGGAAGGACACAGAAGCTCTACCTCCGAACCTCTGGAAGAGTCGCTCTGGGATTCAAGGTAAAGTTAATACACAGTCCACTCCTATATTCCACAGATACTCACGTCATGGCCTGATAGATAGACTCTACTCCGTATCTCATAGCAAATTCATCCACAATCTCCTGGGCTGTTTCATCAAAGTACACTTTCCAAGCGTCATCACCCTTTGCATCTGGGATTTTGACTACGCCGTTGTTCTGGATGTCCGTCACGAAATGGAATAGGTTCTAAGAGCCATTTAGAGAAGGGATAAAATTAAATCAGAAGACTCACACTACAGAAGAGGCTGAAAAAGGAGAATGGTTTGTAGCGATGTCAACAGAACATTGCTATTATCTTGTAGAAAGACTCAGGCAGAACCATTGTGCTTAGATGTGTTAAAACTAGGTATCATATCCATAAGTAGACCTGCTTTCCTTTGGAACAGAAATCATGTTTTATGGAATGTGTGGGTTTTTTTAACGAACAATGTGTCAGGCTCTTTAACAGCTACTTAAAACCAAGTGATTCTTTCCCAGTACATTTCTCAGTTTTCTTTTTAAACAAGATTTGAGAAGAAAGGGATGGGAATACAAGAGTTCCAGCAAATGAACTAGTTCCCATTTAGAACCAGTATCCCTCTGTGGACATTGCGGCAAAGACTTCTTTATTTTCTTTCTAACAGCCTTCCCGTGATCCTCCAAGGAGGCAGGCCACTTCACTGTCAGTGGGGAAGTCTGCAGCTGACTGTTTAGATCAATGTTTCTCAACCTTGGCGACTTTAAGATGTGTGGACTTCAACTCCCAGAATTCCACAGCCAGCATGGAAATTGAAGTCCACACATCTTAAAGTTGCCAAGGTTGAGAAACACTGGTTTACATTACGGTCTCATGAACCTTTACTGCTCTGGGAACCAACCAGTACATTGCTGCCCAGTTCTATAGCTGGATGAGATGGCTCCATGCATCTCCCAGTATAGAGGGCTGGGACAGACATGAACCATACCATAAAAAGCAATCTCTGCATTGTTATATGCCTTTTCACTCACTTCATGGAGGCAGGTGTACTGCACATGGTATGGTGCCACTTTCTCCTCTCCCTTGATCTCCACACTGATGTGCAATCGGATAGCTCCGGATACAGCTGACTTATCTGTTCGCTTGTCTGAAACAGTTAAGGGATGGGGAGAGAAGAGAGGCATTTGGTGTTACAGTTACAGTATTTGCAGGATTGATGTAGGAAAGGGGATTTTTATGAAGTCTGTGTGAACATCCCAGAATAAGCAAGAATATAAAGGGTTAAGGTTAGGGTTATGAATATCCCAGAGTAAGCAAGAATGTGAAGTGAGCCAGCTAGTTGAGACAATACAGCCTTATGCCTCTGAAAGGCCCATAAAATCAAGAATGCCAGCAGTAGCTTCCCCTCCCTTGTAGAGCTTAGGAGCAGTTGGATTGTTGCAAGCATTTCTCTGGACGTACTTCAGTTCCATTTTTTGTCAAAGCAAATGATTCACTCCAATATTCCTCAGTGTGAACTGTCAATTGTCTTACTGATCTGCTAGAGATGATAAGTGTGGGGCTTCAACTGCAAGCCTGGCCTTCTTGAGCTTTCCATCTGTGAAGTCAAGGGCCAACTACCAGATCTAGATTTTGTACTTCAGACTGAATGTGTTGCTAGTATAGAGACAATGAATAACTCTAGATCTCTTTTCTGAAGATCTCGTCTGCCCACTTAGGACTTTACAGATGCCTATGACCCATTCAGATGGAAAGCTGTCCAAAAGATGTCCCTGTTGAGGCTGGATGACTGCTTACCCAGATTGTACCAGACATCCATCTCTCCGCTCAGCGTCCGCACCTCAATGATTGTCTGACCCAGGAAGTCATCAGATTCTCTCTTAAAGCGCTGCTTTACCCTAGACTTGATGTCATCATCTTCATCCCATACCCGAACTTTAATTCGATCGGAGGAGTTATGACATTCACTGATCGTGGAGAAAATTGGGAAAAGAGGGGAAGTAACAGGTAAGAGCTGTTTAATGTCACTATGTATGGGGACATAGATGCTAAGAGAAGGGTGAGTGGTTCACATTAGGGAGATTATTCTGCATCCTGAAACTGAACAGAAACTGAATAGTGACTCCTGAACCAACAGAAAACCTTATGATTACTAAGCCCATTACACATTCCCTTGCAAGATCTCTCTATCCTCAACATTAAGTATACCCCTCCCTCCCTCCCCCAATTTCTCTCCATTTTTAACTCTGCAATATTAGTTTTTCAATCAATGCTTTCTTTGCTTAATTAAAAAATCCACCTATATTATGGAATGAACTTACAATCATTATTCATTTGTCATATAAATTATTAATGTCTAACTGGAAATATAATTTTATGGAAGTTTGGGAAAACGGGGAGTAGCTGAAAGGATGTTAGATACTCTAGACCTTTTTCTCTGTAGAGAAATGGAGGTCTACCAGCAGAGAAGGAGAGGATGATCATCTACCTGCCGTGGCAGAAAATTCTACAGCAATCATCAACTGCTTCCTCTGCTCTGTGGGCAGTGAACTTTACACACGCATTCATTAAGGTAACTGGGAGGAAAAAGAAGATAAAAACTCAAATTGGGGGTAGAATGGAAAATCTTTCTTCAATCTTCTCCCCTGGGAAAGTTTAGGTACATTACCCTGCCACATATATATAAAGACACATCTAAAGGTCTTCATACACAGGAATGACTCCCTCCAACAACTTTTGAATTGTTGCTAACTAAACATGTTCCAGTTCCAGAAGCAAGCTACAATCCTACATTCTTGGATAGGCAACCTTTTGATATCTGGGAGCTACACTTAACATTGAACCAAACGGGTCCTGACCCTACCTACTTCTAACTAGCCTGGGTTCTGGAGATCATCTGTTTGGTGCCTGCAGGCTACAATAAATATGTTTGAGGGGTGGAAGAATGAAGGCTATAGTAGGCAGTTAGCTTGTAATTTCTGTATCCTGCCTCAAAATCATGGGTATGTCTTGTGGTTTGGGAGGGGAGAGGAAGGATTTAGGCCCTGAAATTTATCCCCCTGCCCCAAGAATATAGCCCACTGGAATCAAGGTAACTTCTTTTCAAGTAAAAGATTTAGCTTGGAAGCGTAGAAGTCAGAGCTAACCAATCCTTGGGACAATATCTGGAATGGAAAGTAGAACTTTGCTGGACACCTTGAACCTGTTTAGCCACATTCTGCTGTTAACTGATCTCAGATCTGACTAATGCAGGCTCTTAGCCTGCTAGTGTGCTGGCGTGAATTACTGGTGTGTCAGCTGACAAGGTAACATGCCCATCCAACATGCATTAGAGACAAGTGCCTTATGATTCACTTACAAGTGGAAGTTCTCCTCCCAGACGGGGTTCAAATTTCCATAAATGGTTTTTGTTCTCTTTTTCGTCTTTCCAACCTGGACAGTAACATACGGGTCGCTGGAGCCCGTTTTATCCTTCGCCTGCAGGCCTTGTGCACAAACAACTACCAAATATATAAGCCACAGACACACACACACACACGTGCCAGGTTGATCGGGTGGAAGGATACACACATACCAGCACCCCCAAAAAACCAAAACAAACGAAACCAATAAGACAACACATGAACAAAGAAAGCAAATGAAAACAAAAGTTAGGGATAGATAATAGACAAAAACAAGTTTAATATTTATTTTCCTTTTCTAGGTTGATTTGAATAAAAACAATGTATTTTCCCATTTGTGTATGAAGTGTTTTGGTTTTTTTTAATCTGTGCCTTCAAATCAGTCTTGACTCCTGGTGATTGCCTGGACTAGTCCCTGCAGTATTCTGGGCAAGATTTCAGAAATGGTTTGCCATTGCCTGCTTCCTAGGGCTGAGATAGAGTGACTGGCCCAAGGTCACCCAGCCGGCTTTGTGCCTGAGCAGGACTAGAATTCATGGTCTCTAGGTTTCTAGCCTGCTGCCTTAACCAGTACCCAAAACTGGCTCTTGTGTGAAAGATGGCCAGCCCTAATTTATTGGTTTGATTCATAAGCCACCTTTCAGTATAAACCGAGCACTCAAAGTTTTAGAATTGTGAGGCAGCTGAAGCGATATTCAGTGCTTCTCTAAAAGTCACGGGGATCCCCTCCATCCCAAAATGTGAATGAGGGAAGATAGCTTTATATGCTTGTATGTCTTGACCCTCCTCAACCTGGACCAAGGGAAATTAAATGTGGATGCCTCCAGAGTCCATAATTGTCTCCAGAGATGGGGAGACACCTGCTCAGACTGATCTTAAACCTACAAATGAATTCAAAGACAATCACCCTTCAGTATTCTCCCTTTTTTGAATTTCGTAATGCAGTTTTATGAACACCAACAAAAAAGCATACAAAATTACGCATACAAAAAAGTGCATGGGGAAGAAAGAAAAGTACTCGCCAAAATTCAAATACTAGTGGAAAAAATCTACACAAGTGTCATATAAGAGGGAAAATTACTTGTACAAATGAATACATTAGAAGTGCATCAAATAATGTTTAGAAAATAATACATTAGAAGGTATGTGCTTCAAAAAGACATGCAGCTTTCCATGCAGACCTTTTAAAAAAGAAAGAAAACACCACAGAGATATGAAAATAGGGGCAAAAATAGGTTGGAAAAATGAGCAACAGAGCAAAACTAAACTTAACAGACTGGTCTGTTCCTACGTATATGCCTGTATAGAAGAAATCCAGAAAGTTGTCGGCATGGTACCTGTGATGCTGATCTTGGCTGACCACTTTGAGGTGCCATCCAGAACGCTCTGCTTGACTGCCTTCATCTGCTGGGTGTGAGTGGTCTTAGAGACAGCAAAGATCTCCTGGATTAACTCAAAGATTTCTGGTTTATTCCGCTCACGGATCTTCATACGGTCTTTCAGCACCATAATAATATTCTGTGTGCGATCTTCTGCCCCATGTTTAGAACTTTTCTCTGCTGCCCCTGAGCACCAGAAGAAATATAGCATTGATAATCTCACATGCAACAACAGTTGTTATTATCATTACTGGTTATTATCTGTGTTGATAACAACACAGGTAGGCTAACTGTGATACTTTAGCAATCCACAAAAGTATTTTTTCTCAAATGAATTTTGGTTTCAAACAACACCCTTTTCCTCCTGTCCCCAAAACCATCATGCAAGGGGATCCTCACTTTGCAAGCAATCGGCGTTGAGCAGGTCTTGGCACTTTTCGTGGCATTTCACCCCACACTCGGTACACCGCATTCCTTGGCGTGCAATGCCCCAGAGGAGGCCTTCACACTCATAACAGTAGGTGGGAGTGGTAGCAGTCCACACCTCAAAATTATGGGGGGTTGTGCAAGAGATGGGATAGATTAAGGCTTGGAGGGTCTTCTTGTAAACATGGTTTTTCTGTGGGGAAAGAATAGAGAGTATACAGGTTGGAATAAGAAAGCCAAATGTAGTGGCTACATATTATAGGACTTTCCGTGCTTGCCCTGGCAACATCTTTTTTGTGGCTTGTCCCCATGGTGTTGTCTTCTTCTTGTCCCCAGCCCAGGAATGAGACAACCTTCATTTGTCCTTAGATGTTCCGGTGTGAAAGCAACATTTCCTCCCTTTTTTGGTCACTGTCCAAGGGCAGCTTCAAGATTCATGCTATGTCATTCTTATCTTGGAGGGAAGTCATGAGACTACAGTGATTGGAAACAGAACCAACAGGGGCAGGAAAAGGTTTGGCAACAATTTCAGGCTGTGATAGTTTTTTGCTATTTTTGGGTGGAGAGCTTTCAATTCAATAGTGGGGAAAGGCCCTATGTTCTAGCAAGAGCCCTCTCCTAGAACCATTCTTCTTTGACACATGTTCTATAATCAGAAAAAAGAGTAGGCAATGTTTTTTTTTTCTTTTATGGGTCAAGTTTCTCTAGGGCTAATATTTTGGGGGCCACCTGCTAACAGAGGGCACAGCATTGTGAGCAGAGCAGGGACTACAACTGGCTGACATCACTCCTCCTCCTTTCTGACACTTTCCCCCCCTACCTGAGACCTCCTTTGCTTTCCCAGGTTCTCCTTCTGACTTCCTTTTGTTCTCATGCAACAGGCTGTCAGAGAATAGAAAAATCAGTGCCTTCCATAGTTCAGATTTTTTGCAGAGAGATTTTGGAATTGAGAGTTCAGGGCTGTGGAAGGCCTTGGGTCAAGATCTTCTAGCCTCTAATTTTCCTGGAGATGCCAAGGACTGAGGTATGGTTTGGGATTATACATGCAGAAAGATCCCCCAATCCCTCCCTTTCTGTTAGATAAAGTTTTAAAAAAAGTGGGGGGGGGGAGAAATTAGGTCCCAAGACTAGGTAAAGAGAAATAACAGGGGCTTCCTTAGCCCTTGATTAAAGATTGGAATCTACATGAAGCTAGAAAAGGTCCAGAGAAATAAGTAGAAGATTTTGCTTCAGGAATCTGTTTGTCTTTAAGGAATAGGTAAACCAGTCTATCCAGAAAACTAAGTTAGAATTTTAATATTTATTTTCCTCCATGTGTGTCTAGTATCGAACCTTTATTGTCTCTGGTATTTATGTTCTCCGTACAAGCTCAGCAACTTGTGCTTTCTGTAACTAAAGGGTGGGCTCAATGTTCTTGCTTTGCTCTGGGCCCTTCCCCAATCACATCGTCCTTTTCTACATGGGTGCATTTATTTATTGGAGTTATATCTTATCTTTCCTCCAGGTGCTTAAGACAGTATGCATACCATGCCTGCCTCTAATTCCCCCATCCCCAACCACCCAACCAGGTAGGCTGAGCTGAGAGAAAATGACTGGCTCACTTAAGGAGCTTCCCTGGTTGAGGGTGGACTTGAACCTACTATAAGTGTCCCTGGTCCTACTCCAACATCTTAACCACTATACCACGCTCACTCCTTATACACTCCATCCCATAATCTTAGGTCAGTAAGGCAGCTGTTTCATGTCCTACCCTGGCTCTGTCTGACCTCAATGGTTCCTTCTGCTTTCTTCATGGAATGATCCATATGATAAAAAAGCAATGTTCTCCTAGAGTTGAAGCAAGGCTCCTTCTTATTATAACTTAGGAGGGGGCTAACATTTATTCACCCAGGCCTTTTAACGTTCAGGTGTTTCACGTTACAAGTTTAATGTTTATTGTTCAGTGTTTTATAGTTCTTGTTTCTAACACGTTTTTATTGTATTTCTGTAAGCCATTCACAGCTGTTAAGCAAATGCTCAGGATATCCATTTCCTACATACATGTTCTAAGTAAACAATTAAAAGGATGTTGGAACACTTACTAGCTCTTCATTGTTTAAAGTGCTTGATGCAAGTGCTGATGTAATACCAGCTTTCCTGGACTGGACTAAGGACTGTTGGAAAGAAGCATAAAGAATAATTAAAGCAAAGCAATAAAGACCATACATGTTCTTGATCATGAATGAACCAGATGTGTCTTCATAATTGCCATTCACTTTAGAGGCAAATAAAACACTTCTAAACATAATCCTATACTTTATATTTTAAAAAGTCCTTAGGGCTCAATATATTGCTTTATGTCATTGTCTTGTTTCCTCACGTGTATTTGTTTTTATAGGGGATGGATGAATTTCTCCATATGTTCAAATACGGGTACAAGATGTGACAGAATCTTTGGGACATCAGAAAGTGGCCAAGCGCTCATAAAGACTAGCAGAATCCAGATTAGCAGACTAGCAGTCATCCCTAAATTTTAGCAGATGTGTGAACTGGGAATGGATTTGCAAGGAATACATGTTAAAAAAGAAATACTCACCATAGCCTGTAAAGTATTGGAGGGTGAAAAAGCACAAGAAGAGAGGAAAGAAGTTGTTAATATGATGCAGAAAATCAGACTTTTCTTCCAGACCTTCCCTATGATAAGCAAAATGGCACAAGACTCATTAAAGATTTGGGGGACTCATAACTCTTTTCCTATATCAGAGACAGGGAACCAGTAGTTCTGGGGCCCTATCTCTAGGGAATCCCTAGTGGTTTATCTCATCAGCTCCAGCCAATGGAGTTCATTGAAAAGGTGTGATTTGGAATTCAAAAAGCTTTAAATCCACAGGTTTCCACCTTAATCCAAGATCTATTAAATCCACTTTCTCCAATCTTAGGTCCTCCAGATGTGGTGGGACTTCAGAAGTTTCAACACATTCGGGGGTCACCGTGTTGAGGAGAACCATAGGAACTCTTACTTGGTTTTAGACTTCATGTCCATATTCCCTCATAATCCCACCACAATTTCTCCACTCACCAACACCAGCACTTTTTTAGTGTGTCCATTAGTGGCTTGGAAGGAAAACAATTTCTACAGACTCAGCAACTTCCCAGGGGATGAATAAAGCAATGCCTATTATGCCATCACATATTTCTACATGTCAAAGTATACAGTCCACAATATGCAAGCCTGTCTTAACCCATTGGCTGTTCAAAGCGCTGTTCCAACCCACGCTCAAAAGTTTGGTACTTGAAAATAAGACACAGACCTCAGCATCCCCCCTCCCTCTACTGCAAAAGACACAAAGAAGCTGCCGCATCAAAGAGGAGTAGAAGCTCGGGCAAAAGACAGACAAAGGAAGGACAATAAAATCTAGATGTTGCAAGCAGGAAGTTAGTAAGAGAAAGGCAAGCAAAGGTGCAGGGTAGAGGGAATCAGACCTGTAGGTGACCGAGATTTATATCATACCAGAACCTAGCTTTCAAGGATTCCTGAGCTTCAAGTTAAAATTATTTGAAACTAATTTTACTTTTTCATATGTTTTATCTATAAAACTATAATTCCTGAACTTCTTAAAGTGACTTGTGAAGCATCCCGTCTAGGCTCTATAGCACCTTTTAGATGAAATAGAGATCTCAGATAACAAGCCTTGGGAATTGTAGTTCTATGGAAGGCCTGGGACCTAATTCTTTGTGTTCAATAGTGAGCTATAATCCCAAGGTTCCTTGATGACATTTGATCACTCTGATCATTCTCCAGCTAAGGAGCTTTGGGATCTAAAGAGCTTTGGAGGGCTTTGGATTTCTAATATATTTATTTATTTATTTATTTTATTTATTTATTTTATTTATTTATATGTCATATTTATATAGCCGCCCATCTCACACAAAGTGACTCTGTAAATATATATAAATATTAAAAAAACCATATGGGTGGTATGTGTCTTCCTCAATCTTGGGTCCTCTACCAGAAGCCTGGGAGTTTGAGGGTTCTGCACAGTATCTTAGCTGTTCCTAACACTGCCCTCTTTTGGACAGAGAGCTCTGATGTTGTTCCTGGGATCTGTTGGAGCCATTCTCCCAGCTTAGAAGTCACAGCTCTAAGTGCTCCTACCACCTGGGACCACTTTAGCTTTTACTTTCCAAATTTTGAAATGTTTTCTAACATAGAAATTTTAATATATCCAAGACTGTAATCCCCAGAATTGCTTGAGTGCAGAAGTTAGCAAAGAAGGGTAGCAACTAGGTAGAAGGATTTTTAGTTATTACATTTTATACAAATTGTTTGTCTTAGAATTGAATGATATGACACAGCTTCCTGTAACAGACCACCAGAATTGAACTTTCAAGGAAGAAACTGAGAATGATGTTAGGAAATCTCTAGATCACTTTTTGTGATCTATAACTATTATTAGGTCTCCTTGTTAGGGACCTGGTACAACAACTGGAGTAACAAGGCAAAGAGAAAGACAATGACTTCATTGTCTTTAAAAAGACATAAAACAATACAGTTCTATCTTTAGTATATCAAATATTGCCTATGTCATTTCTCCCTCATCTAGCGCCCTTCAGATATTTTTGACCACAATTCAGATCATCCTTGTCTGGAACTAATGAGAGTTATAGTCCAAATACTTGGGGGGAATCACATGGTGGAAGGTTGACCTGAGTTTCTTGTACTTCTTCAGGCTGAAGCTCAGGAATTGCTCAGTACTATCCCACAAGGTAAGCTGTGTCACCGCAGCTTCTCCATTCAGAATTGACCTCATCCAGACTGGTTGCTGGTTTCTCTTAGTCTCCTCTCCTGAGGAATCAGGAAACACATACAGGACTTCCTGTTTTAATAGCACGTTGTTGAACAACAAGATTTATCTGAGCTTCCTCGTCTTTGGTTTTTCTGAATCTGCTCTCTTTTCCTAGCTACTGAGTACAGTCCATGGTGATAAGATGAGCAGAGGAAAGTATTATCCTATCTCCTGTCTGGAGATGCTGGGGACCTAACCCAGGTTCTTTTATCTACCACTGAAGCATGGTTGCTTTTGGATAACAAATATATCTTCCCAGTATTGTCTACTCTGACATTTTAGCTCACCAGTCCTGCTACCTGAGATACTTTACCTGAAGAATCTCCTTAAAAAGTAAGTTCTCACTGAACTATGCCTTCCCTGTAAGGTTGTCAGTAAGGGAAGCATACGAGGAAAAGTGCAAGAGATGCAGTGAATCAAAAACATGTTGAAGGGTAGACCTTGCACAATGAGGAAGGGTTGTACCTTGGGAATAGTGAGGTTTGGGAGTGTAGAGTTAGGAGGAAGGAGACAAAATTGGAAAATTAAAATGCAGGAAGACATTTGGTGCTCCTTGTTGGACAAGGATTTTGTACAGCATCTGTTAAACCAGGCATTTGCAATTGGTTGCCTCCAGATGCTGTTGGGATCCTGGGTTTAGGGGAAAAGGACTCCTGGGGTATTCTCCCTTTCACCTCATTCTCACCAGATCGCTGATCACTAGCGGAAGAGATTTACGTCCAGCCTTAATGTCGGGCATGCTGTTAATGCAGCGCAGAAACTTTACTGCTGCTCCCCTGAGAAAGATGCACCCACAACAGCATCAGCAAGCAGAAGATGGAAGAGAAATAAAACAAGCTTTATTAGCGAAAGCAAAGCAGAGGCAACTGAATAAGATGTGGCACACTGGAGCCGAAGTAATGGAGGATGTGATCTTTCCTCCCCCGTCAATCCTGTTTTCAGATTTTGTTATGAGCTACATTTTAGGGCAGAAGGGGGATCATGAAAATTGTCACAGCAATTATTATTTCTTGGTGCTATTCTATGCCTTTGGATTTTAAAGTAATTAAAAATTACTCTTTGTAATAATTTGAGAACTGGTGCAATGCAACTGCTAGAGAGACATTTCCACTGCAGGGTTTTAGAACTTGTAGTTTGGTGAAGGAGACATCTCTGCTTAATCCTTGTTAACCCTTAATCTGAATTCTTAAGAAAATGCTTTTGGGGAGTTTTTTATTTCCAGCCACCTTTCTACTATAATGACCACTTATGTTAGCTAACTCCACTAAAATATAAAATAAAATTCAAGTGATATTCATATATGAATGACATTAAGTTAAATCACTTATAATCAGGATTTGGTAGCAAGTGAAGCTTTGTAATAAGCAAGTCCTAAAACTGTCTGTGCTCACTAGTCAGCAGTCAATAGTAGACCAAGTGTCATTTCTAGCAATTTTAAGAAACAGCCCCACTTATAGTGGTCTCCACAAGTGGCAGCATCTGGCTGATTTAATTTAACTGGGAAGTTAAACAGAGTTAGGCCTGGTGAGTACTTGGATGCGAGGCCTCCATAGAATCTAAGAGCAATAGGCTTGATTGGAAGCAAAAAAAGACAAGAACAAACAATTTTTGTATTGTTGCCAAATAAATGATATGGATGTGCCCATGAAGTCACCAACAGCCAATCTGGGTTTGAAGGAAACCTTCTTCTATACTATAATATAGTATTAATATAATATAATATAATATAATATAATATAA